CTTAGTGTGGTGACACCACTGGAGACAAGAATGCAATCACGCGGCTCTTTCCTGAATGAGTTTGGATTCTCTGACTTGATTGAAGTTCCAGCGGATGGGCATAGTAATGGAATGGTGGTTCTTTGGGATGATACTAAGGTTAATGTTATGTACGTAGGAACCAAAAGATTCATACTACAATTGAGGTACGTCCTATAAAATTTAAATGGCTATTTTCGTCAACATATGCTAGCACTAATATTATGTCAAGAGATAGTATGTGGAAATATATTAGACAAATTGTTGATAGTTATCATGGTGCCTGGATTGTGGGGGAGGATTTTAACGATGCATTTAAAGCTAATGAAAAATTAGGAGGTAGATCTATAAACCGTAGACGTGCTTGTAAGCTATGGAATAACCTTAACTATTGCAATCTTCTTGACCTAGGTTATAAGGGCGGTACATTTACTTGGGCTAATAATCGCTTTAAGAACAATTCACTAATTATGGAACGACTTGATAAGGAACGGTAACGATCAATGGGTCCGACATTTTCCCAAATGCTACTATAACTCACCTTCCTAAGACTCATTCGGACCACAATCCGCTTCTTCTTTATCTTGTTCCGAAATATCAAAGTAACCTTCCCAAACCCTTTCGTCTAGAACCTTTTTGGTGTAAGGATCCGCAATTTAGGGAGTTAGTAGCTACTGCTTGGTATGGTAACCAGTTTGTAACGGCCTCCTCTTCCTTTACATCATTAGTAAGAAGTTGGAAAAATAAGAATTCTTTTGGGGATCTCTTAATTAAGAAGAGAAGAATCCTAGCTAGGCTTAAGGGTATCCAAAATTCCACTTCCTATTATTCTAGTCCTTTTCTCCAAAACCTTGACGCCGAATTGAGAATTGATTTTAATAACATATTAAAAATGGAGGAGGATTATTGGAAGTTACGCTCTAGAATTCAATGGCTCAATGATGGAGATGCCAATATGAAATTCTACCACATAATGGCCACAAATAGGAGGAGGAAAAATAAGATAGTATACTTTAAGGATGAGAATAATAATTGGATTGATGAACCTCAAGCCATCCGTAATCATGCTAGGAGTTATTTTGATAACATATTCACAACCTTGCATACTATCAGTGACTGGAAAGCCATTAGACAAGATCCCAAAACCTTCAAAAACTTAGACTTACTACCTCTAGATCATCCACTCACTCGTATGTAACACCATTTACAAAATTATTACAAAAATTATTACAAATCGATTAAAATCCATCCTAGAAAATATCATTAGTCCTTTTCAATCTAGTTTCATGAAGAATAGGAGGGAATGCGATAATGCTATCATAATTCGGGAGATCATTTTCAAAATGAATAAGTATCGGGGAAAAAACCACCACATGCTCCTTAAAATAGACCTGGCCAAGGCATATGACTGCCTGGAATGGTCTTTCATCTATAGAACCATTTTCTTCTATGGTTTTCCACCAAAAAATACAAAGCTTATTATGAATTGCATTACTTCTTCTAGGATTGCAGTCCTTGTCAATTGTTCTAGAACAGAATTTTTCATTCCATCTAGAGGGATCAGGCAAGGGAACCCAATGTCCCCATACCTTTTTATTCTCTGTATGGAAATGCTTTTCACTCTCATTAATTACAATGTGGACATGAGACATTGGGATCCCATTAGTATAGGAAGGAATAACTATCAGTTGTCTCATTTATTTTTTGTTGATGACCTTAACTTAATGAACATATTCAATAATAAAACCATCCACAACATTAAACATTGTCTGAACCTTTTTTGCTCCCTGTCTGGCCAATCTATCAATAGAGCCAAATCGAAAATTGTTATGTCCAAACACTGCCCAAAAACAGATGCACAAATATTGCTAATATACTCAATATGAGTATTTGCCACGCCTTTGGGAAATACCTTGGATTTCCAATAACTAACTCCAAACCTAGAGCGTATGATTTCCAATTTGTTATTGATAACATGTTAACTAGGTTAGCGACTTGGAAATCTAAGTGTCTTATTATGGCAGGGAGGTGTACATTAGCATCTGCATCCCTTAATGCTCTCCCTCATCATACTATGCAATTTTCCTTACTCCCTTCAAAATCCTTAAAAATTGTAGACAAATTCTAGCGGGATTTCTTATGGGGCAGCAACTTTACAACTAGGAAGCTCCACCTAATTAGTTGGGACGTTATTACTAGGCAGAAAAAGGAGGGTGATTTGGGTATTTGCTCTGCTAAGAATAAAAATCTAGTTAACTTAACTAATCTAGCATGGAGACTTCTAGCAAATGCGCAATATCCCTGGGCTAGGATTATCCATGAGCTTCATGGGAATATGATCAATATTAAAACTGGTTCCTTCATATGGAACATCATCATACAGGGTTGGGAAATTTGTAGAAAAGGCATTACATGGATTCCACACAGGTCGTCATCCCTTAATGTTTGGGACAACTGTTGGATCCACCAAACTCCAACATTACGTGAATGCATTCAGGGCGCATTAGGACAACGTAAAAATCTCCTAATTATTAATGATTTATGGCTTAACAATCAGTGGGACTTATCAAAAACCTTCTTTGAAATCCATTCCCCTTTGGCAAACAAAATTAAAGCCACAACCCCAAATAATCTCAACCATGACATCCCTACATGGTCACATACCTCAAATGGCCTCTTCTCTAGTACATCGTGCCATAATCTTCTAAATTCCCACCCCAACACTAATCAAGACTTTAATTGGATTTGGAACAAAAAATGTCCTAATAAAATGAAGTTCCTCTTATGGAAATATTTACACAATAAGTTACCTACTAGAGTGTACCTAAACCACATTGGAATTAACATAGACCCTATTTGTTCCCTTTGTAAGCAAGATAGGGAAAACATCAGCCACATTTTTATACATTGCATAGCAGTAAAGGATTTCTGGGCCCAATTAGGCATCAATATGAGTGGTTGCAATCCGACAAACCATTGGTTAATTAATCTTCGCGACCTAAACTATCTCATAGGGAGAAACCACGTAGATTGACATGATATGTTTCCTTTTGTGATATGGTGCATCTGGACGAATAGAAATAATAACCTTTTTAATAACACGACAAACAAAGCCTATTTTTATTATTGTTACAAGTTAGCACTTGAATACAAATTCCTGACTGAGAAGGAATACATGCATCAAAACAATATTAAGGTTTCAGTAAATTGGATCAAACCAGCTATCAACCATATAAAACATAATATAGATGGCTCCATTGAAAGATCAACCTACAGATGTGGCTTTGGTGGGCTATTTAGGGATAGCAATGGTATATGGGTGCTAGAGTTCTAGGGCTCGTCTTATGGTCTATCCCCACTTCATGCAGAACTTATTATGGCTTTAAGAAAGGGACTAGAACTTGTAAAGGATCAAAATTTTACCAATGTTGATGTGGAGACTGACTCCACAGAGGTCATTTCATGTCTACAACATGGTTGCACACTACTAAATAATATTATTCATTATTGCAAGTCATTGATGCACCAGGTGAAGGTTCAAATAGTGGAACACAACTTCATAGAGGCCAACCAACCAGCACACAAGCTGGCAAAGGATGTACTAAGCATGGCAAATGGCAGGGATCTCGAAACTTTGTATTATCCTCCACATTTTGTAACCGCCATTTTAGCAACTAATATTGAACCTAGTTCCTATATAGCTAAAAATATTAGGAAAGAGGAATGCACTACGCTTGCCTCCTTCGGAAACAAGAACGCTCTTCGTGACTATTTAATGCCTTGTAATAGCCAAGTAAAAATGCCCCGTTGGGGCCTCAATGACAATGTATACTACTGGAAAATGGCAGATTTTTGACTGCCAAAACAGTCGAAATTCGGTCGAAAATCACGTATTTCCGACTACTTTCCGACCGAAATTGGTTAGTCGGAAAAAAGTTGGTCGGAAAGCAATTTTCGGCCGTATCCGTCGGTGATTTCCGACCAAAGTGGTCGCAAATTTAAAAAGATCGGACGACCAAATATTTTACGTTTCTGACCAAAGTGGTTGGAATTTACCGACTGAATCAGTTGCAATAATACAAATAAAATAATTATTTATTTAAAATAAAATGATATAAATATAACATTTTTGATCGAATCGGCCGGTAATTAATAATTAAAAAGTAAATTTTATTTATTTTCCGATGGAATCCGTCGAAAGTTATTGAATATTAATCTTTTTTTAAAATTTCCGACCGAATTGGTCGGAAATTAATAATTAAGAATTAAATTTCATTTAATTTCTGACGGAATCCATTGAAAATAAATGAATATTATTTTATTTTTAAAATTTTCGATCGAATTAGTCGGAAATCTAGGAATTTATGGTTAAATATGGGCAGTTATCCGACCGTTTTCGTCAGAATTCAATCGAATTTTGTATAAAACTGTGCAGAATTTTGCCCAATTTCGAGCTATACCACCTGTCAAACTATTATAAATAAAAATATGCCAACCAACAATATATTAATACAATCTAAACCAACGATACATTAATACAATAATACCTACCAACAATACATTAACACAATCTAAACCAACAATATCAACCATTAACACAACTTAAACCAACAATACCAACCATTAAACTTAACAATTTTGGGCATAAAAACATCCAAATAGTAGCCCACATTCAAGTTTAAAAATAATACATAAAGTTGTCTCTCACAATCAAGCTTACCAATCAACCAAAACATCACAACTAAACTACTACACATTAGATTCAGTTTGTTCATCCTCATCATCAGATAAATCATGCCCATATTTTCTCATGAATTTATGCATCTTAACAAATGTCCGTATTGGAAGTCCAATTGTTGCTTCAAATCACGAATTTTGTTTCTCATATTTTCCATCTGTTCTTGATTTCGAGAAGAAGAAGAATTGGCTAAGAGTGAGTTCGGATGACATGTAGGTCGATGTACTCCTAGTCCGTAGACTCTTCATTTGTTTACTCCACCCGCTGCCTCTGTCCACAATGAAGCCATATCATCAGGTGTTGGTTGAGTTGAAGGAGGCTGAGTTTGTTGGCATTCTTCCAACCTTTTATGATAATCTTCCAAAAATGAAAAACATAACTATTATGTAAACAAACTAATATTAATAAATCATAAATAATTATGAAGTTAAAATTTTACATATGTGTCTGACGCACGCGTCTCCACCCAGTGTTCTCTTGTACCATCCTTTTTCTTTTTCTTATGCAACTCCTCGAAGACCTCATCGTGACTCATATCTCGCCCTCTTTCCTTTTCCTTCATAACAAAAAGTATGAGTTAGACATTACAAACGTAAAATTTTATATGTAGTGTAAGCACGTGATTTTTGACCCTCCCCGGGAATTTTTACGTCCTTAAGCTTAAATATCTNTCGGGCGCGGAAAAAGGAGGTGTGACATGTAGAACTAAGAAAAAATTTATAAGTAATTACCAATCTTAGTTTATGGGCCGTAAAAGTAATCGAACCTCCTGTGTACAACGAGCCACCTTTACTAGAGGCACAGTTTGTCTTTGCTTGTTCACTCTTTGCCTTCCATTCTGCAGTATTCAATTTCTCAAGAAGTTTATCCCAAATATCTTTTCTTAACCAGTCCGGTATTTTATCGGAATTCCGAGCAGCAAACATAGTATCTTTAAATGAGATATTTAAAATAATTTGATTTATTTAAACTGGTTACAAAGTTATACTCTTTTAGTAGTGGTAGTTACTTAATATCTAGTATAATATAGATCCCTGCTTATCTAAAAAAAATTCCCTTGACATAACTAAATGTGAATTGTTTTTAGTAGAATTCGTTTGGACATAGATTTTGGCTGATTTATTTTAAAAAATAAAAAATATTATTTCTTCCTAGAATTTGATCAGTTTTTGGGTGAAAATATTTATTTCATTCAAAAAATTTAGATTTTTTTCAAATAAAATATATGTTTAAATACAATTTTAACTTCTAAAAATTATTTTTCAATACAACTTTATTTTTTTTAAGTTTCAACCAAATGTATGCTAAACCCTAGCTTACAAGAAAGTGGATTAGACTTTAGACCTCCAACACCTCAACTTCATAGCGATAAGTAGGTCTTTTGTCCTTGTAGAATGCATATCATCCACAAATATTTAGTTTACTTCATATCATTTGCTATGGATATTTACTTCAACTCAATTCCTTATCTTCTTCTTTAAAATTCAAGCATTTACAACGATCTCTATCTATTAAATATTATTTGTTGTATATGCTATCATCTTAAATTGATGTTAACGTAGTTGAGTCTTTTGCCCATGATAACTTTCTCACTCCAATTTTAAAGTATTATAGGACCTTCATATTAGTTATATGACCTCCAGTAATATTTAGGATCTTCCTATCGCCTGACTTCAGCTGAGATTCATTAATGTTTATTAGTGAATTCGACAATCATATCTCTTATACAGCTCAATCAATTCAAATTCTTTGTCAACAAATAGATTTAATTTATTTATGCAATCGAATCGATATGAATGTGAAATTGTCGTTGTGAAGTATGAGCATCTAAACAATACTTAGTTTATAGACATTAATAAAATAACACTTTAAGCCTATCCAATTTTTTAAACATACCTCTTGTAATATTTCTTGATTTAATAAGCATATCAATAACATAAATTCCGAGGGTGTCTACTCGAAGTTGTTCAAAAAATCCTGTCATTATCAAAATCCGTTTCTTTGTTTAACTCTACTGCCAAATTAAATAATCCCAAGTTGATTAACAAAATTGTTATGGCATCTTCCTTGATTCCCAACTTCTGTTCCTATTTCCTTTTAATTACCACTTTCACTAATCAAAGTGCGCTACTTTAAAGTTAGGTAAAGTCTAAACAAGATCTACTAGTGGCCAATTAATCATTATTTATTTACGTATTTAGAGACAAATATGGACATGGTCATACTGATACTTAATTAATTGCAATTTGGCATTCTAAAGATTCCAAGTTTCTGGTTGTTTCTAGATTAAATTATCAATACTTTAATTTGATGGTTGATGAAACTGTTGGCAACTAATTAAATTACATTCTATGGGCACAAACAGACACGGTATATTCTTTGAACAGCAAGTACAATCACGTTCACTATTTTCAACATCTTAGGAATTTTTAATGTGTTTACTCACACTAATTAAACTCACATAAGAAATAAAAAATAAAGTATACCAGCACAATAATTCATAACAACCAACTAAATTAAGATATTGAATTTGTCTAAGGGCGCACACATAATATATGGACATTAATTTATTTTATTTTTTAAGAAAAAAAGTTAAAATTCCATTGCCATTTTGATGAGGAAATCCATGAGGTAGAAATAAAACAACCAAACCTGAGCAAGAGCCGGTCCTTTTGTTTCTTTTTTATTTTCTTTCTATTCGTCCTATCTCTCATAAATATATTTTTTTTGTGAATAGACCTAGAAAAAGATTCACTCACTCTAGTGTTTGCATCAACTCAATAAATAAATATGTTTATAGATAAATTATCATCATTAGTTAATGTATATTCCTTAACGCATTAACTCATATTCTTCCTTTACTTTTATCGCTAATCGTGATAAAATTGTATATGTAGTTTGATGCGAGTAAATTTTTTCCTATGGCCTCTTAGTTATGTATAGTGGTTTGATTGGGACAATAAACCATTAAAGCGATTTAAGAGATGAATTCCTATCCTAAAAAGTACTTAAAACCCAACTTTTACGAATTTGCTTATCGCTAGATTGACAATTCGTATTTAAAGAGAAGCCCTCTTTTTAGATAGTAGGATAGTAAGGTGGTAAAACTTGAATAAATTAGCACCGTACGTGATTATAAGGACCCGTTTGTCCGTATACTTTTTTTTCTTCTTATTTTTCGAAACTCGTCTTCAAAATACTATTTGGTTATTTATTTCATTGACTAGTCGTTAAAAAACCTTTTTATTACGGTTATGAATGTTTTATGGAATAGAAATTTATTAGGATAAATTTTAAAAGTTATTGAAGATGAGTTCTAAATTTAAAAAAAGTAATTGTGAATAAATAAGCACAAGTATACTTGGCCACCCATGTTGTACAGGTGCATTACAAGTGGTGAGACAGCCGACCAACTTGGTAATCGGTTTCACGCATAAACTAAGACAACATTTCCCTAACGTGGGCCAATAAATCTAGTAGCCACCTTCATTAGATTGAGTCTAAGAAGTACTAGCATATATTCTATTGAGACAAATTATATTGTACAAAAACCACATTGGGAGAGGAGTGCCCTTCAAACAAAAAGGTACTTATATTTCCATAGTTGCCAATTAGGGCAAAGTAATCTTGACCTTTGGGAAGCCATGCCGGTCAAAAACTTGTACTTATATTTTTGTATTGAATATTTGCATTGGAATCTCAATAAATTCGAATTGAAATATAAAATTTTCTGATAAATATAACTTTATACTTTAAGGCTCAAACCTAAAATTCTCCTTTTAACAATAAAGACGTACTTACCATGTTACTTGGTCAAAAACTTGTTGCAGATCATGTTTTAAAATTAAGGACAAACCTTTCAATCAATCCAAAGTCGAGATGGGAAATAGATAATTGCATGTGATGGAGTTATAAGAGTCTTGTTCTTCAAATTCCCAGTGGCCGCCCACTCTTTAAAATATTACTACTGTAGTATAATTGCTGCAATTTAAACATTGCCAATTAAGGTTCCACCACTTGCTTCTTTCCTCGTGGATTTCACGTCCAAATCATGAACTTCCTTTCTTCTTTTTTTAAACATTGTTAACAGTTAACGCAATATTATGTCAAATTAGACCGTCCGACTTCTTAAACAAGTTGATAATATTAATATTGTACGTATTATTTAAAATATGGAATATAGTTGCGCATAGTTTAGCTAGATTTTTGTTGTCTCTTTTACATGTTATTTCTTGGAAGAATTTTCCCAAATTGAATTGTAAATATTGCTATGACATCCGTCGGATAACTTTTCTTTAAAAAAATATCGTAGTAGTATGATAGATGCTATTTTTCTTGGAAAAATAAGACCAACCAATTTCCTCTTTCATACTACAGATGTCATACTATTGGAGTAGTATGATAGTTGGATCAAATATGTTCGCTTTTCTTTTTTTACTTGTGATTTCATTGACCCAAAGGTCCAAAGGTCATGAAGTTAATATTTACGTATAAACAGTACTACAAAAATTACAAGTATTTGTTTTCAAAATTATCCTTAAAAAAATTCAGTAGCCATTGTCCATTTTAGTACAAAAAATTTCTCCTAAGTGAGCGTTTGGACATAAGAATGGTAAAAAAAAAAAATTCAAGTGAAAATGACATTTGAAATTTTGAGTTGTGTTTGGTCATGAATATAATTTTGGGTTGTTTTTGAAGTTTGGCGAGTGATTTGAGCGAAAATTTTGAAAAACAGATTTTTGGAGTTTTTTGAATTTTCGAAATTTTCCAAAATGCATGAAAATTGAAAAATTTATGAACAAACAGTGATTTCGAAAAAAAGTAATTTTTTTTTTGAAAAAAAGGGAAAAAATATTTATTATGTCTAAACGAGCTCTAATTCTACCTGCCATTAGCAATAGGCGCGTGGATGACATTCATTATAGTATTTCCCGGTCGAATTTAGAATAAAAAGTTCATTAATAAATTAAATAATCTTAATTTGCGGTCATTTTAAATAAACCCTTGGAAAATTTATAAGTAATTAATTTACTCCTATATTATGGGTTCCAATGAAATCGGTGGCCCACGGGTTCCGTCTCCTCCCCCGCCCACAGACAGAAATTCAAAACCGTCAACCAATTCGCCGGTTTTCCCACCCCATAAGCGGTTTTCTTCGTGGAACACGACTTTCCCGTAAACCGGGAGCGCTTTAAGATGGGGGCCACTAAAATGGTGCTTGTGGGCCCGCGTCTCTCCACGATATGTGGCAATTCGACCGCACTCTGACACTCTCATGTGACATCCACGCGCTTCATCCTCCAATTTTTTTTGTTTTTACTTGCATGGCACCGAGCCCCAATGCTTCCTATTTCATCTCCACCTGTCTATTCTTTTCAGAACAAGATGCCTTCTCCATTTGCCATTTCAAGCTTCTGCTTTACTGTTCCTAAAGTAAAAGCAGCTGCTTTTTTGGACCATTTGTAGAAACAAAGATTGAATCCTTTTGGACCTAAGTTAATAACCAACCAATAAAATTGTCAGGTCGACTATAGTGATTGGGGTGTGAAAAGCACGTAGTTGGAACGAGAGTGTGTTACGGCTTTGCAGTTGTGTTATTTTAAAATCATATGGTATGAGCCTTTATTTTTTACACAATAAGGTGGTGGTGCAGCTCCCTATTCCAGGAATGTGGAAAACCTGGTTTTCAATAGAAATATACTGCTATTCTTCCTCTCGAGACAAACCCACTGCGCCTCTAGTAATCCCACAAAATAAAACCAAAGGGGGTTCATATATAAGTCTCATGCATCTTCTCATCTTTAACTCATAAAAATCTTCCCTTCTCTATAGACTATAAATATAAAATACTTCTCTTGTCAAACAAATATCTAAATTTGCCAAAATTACTAAAAAATGCGGATGAGTTGCAATGGTTGTAGAGTTC